ATGGAAAACGAAGCTAATGGTTTGACAGACACCTTTGTGGCCAGACACACTACAGACCGTACCTTACGCTTGGAACTGCTTTCTCGTAATCAAAATGGCTTAAGCCGTGACCAACACACAGTAATGGGGACAGAGGTAAGAAAGATTTAATACAGCATATCCTTAAAAAATAGAGAAGGAGAATAATATTGCTTGTCTGAGACTACGTAGCCGGCCGACTGGGTAGGGAGGACGTTGTAAAAGCAATTCACCAAAATTGTAGCTGAGATCGCAGCTTTTATTGACCACGACATAAAAACTGGAAAAATACTTTGAGACCGAATGATCAAGAAAATGTTATAGCACAAGTTTAGTCAAAAATTGATTCCCTGTATGATACTTTAGGAATTGCAAAATAAACTCGCGAAAATCGTTTTTGTTTTCGCTGTTGCAAATGCCCCATACAGGTGTTTTGCGATCCTTCACAAAAAATATTTATATTGCCAATTTCTATTTATTTAAAATAAAAAAAGCTCATAGATTTATGAGGCATCAAAACGAGCATTCCAAGCGAGTGAAATTAGACTATATCACCCGCTCCAAGAGCCAGCCATATAATAAACATTTTTTTAAATTATCTTATTTTGTTTCATTTCTCCAGATTGCCGGGTTAAACAACACTGCTATCGACTGGCCTGCATGTAGTTCTTCTTCGGGGAACACAAGACCTTGGAATGTTGAGTCTTTAGAGTCCACGAACAATAGTCCTCTTGCGTTGGTGCAAGGAGTAGCCAGAGCAACGGTCCAAATAAATAGGGGAATGCGGGAAAGAGACCAGCGTGAATTGGAGCGGGAACAACTTCAAAGGGACCAGGACAGAAGGGAAGCAGAGATTAGAATGAGAGGAAATAGAGAAATGATAGAAAGAGAGAGAAGGGAAATAAGAAGATCTAGTGGATGGAGAGAATGGCAAGAGGCAGTTCCTAGACCTTGGTGCTCATGCCTCCTTGATGAGGTGACTAACATGTTTCATTTTTTTTTCTTTCCTTCTAAATTGATCAATAAGTCGTCTTTCCTCGCACTTGCTCGCGGGAAGTTGCGACAGGTTCTTTCATATCTGAATAAAATGACTCAAGCGACCAACGACGGCATTTAGACAAAGAAAAAATCTCAATCTGAAAACGAGGAAGGAAGAAACCGTGAATAAATAAAACCTCTGTTGATCCGGTTTTTTTTTTTTTGTCCGTTGCCCATCATCACTTCTTTCCCCACGCCTTTTGAAATTTCTTAGTTTTACCTCTTTTTTTCTTGTTTCAGTTTGTAGGAGACACCATATGCAGAAGATGTGACAGACAGAGATACTTGTAAGTCTATAACCCTACGCAGCTAATTCGTGTAATAATGCTCACTATTCAGCAAAGTTGGTGCCACAGTTGATATCGTTGTTGCCTAAACCTAGTTTTTAGGATGTCATCACAGCAATTTTCAAAGTGTTTGATTTTGTGATTCCGAAAAGGATAAAAGCAGTCTGTTAGCACCAGTGAAGTCAAGTAGCAACGTTATGGGTAGATTTTTATAGAGGAACTCTGCTAGTAGTATATTGTACTGCAGAAGTCCTTTTTTTTTTCTTCTGGCACTAACAGACAAAGAAACGGTGTTGTCGCCAACGCAGTAGAAAATTTAGATCAACGTTTTGGTCAATCTGATGGCTCAGTGACGAACAGAAGCTATGGCAGCTCTTTGCTTCAATTGGAACAACCCGTGGAAGAAGCGTGCGCCCTGGTGGAAAGAGTGTCGAGGGAGAGAGAAATTGCAGAGTTTGGTTGGGAAATTGAAAGAAAAGAGCATGAAATACAAACAGAAAGTGCACGAAAGAAGAGAGGAAGGGAGGCAAGACAGCTCCCTGAAGTTAGCATATGGCCTCAGCAGCCATTTCATGCACTTCTGTGCAACTTTAGCGAGCAGTGTGGGGAGGTAAGTTGACTGAGGGCCCTGTCATTATTCATCACCTGGGAGGGAGGGGTTGAAGGATTTTTGGGGGGGGGCGATCACGTTGTTCTCAGGATCTCAGGATTAGTCGTCACAAACAGAGGATGATGGTGGGACTCTGGGATATTGACTGCCAATGAGGGATGGGGGGGGGGGAATCGTTAGAATACTAGAAAGACTTGGGGTTGGAGGGGAATCAAGTACATTTTATTTCCACAAATCCAAAATTGCCCGCCCCTCCCCCCACCATACCTTAGCGATTTGTAAGGACAGGTCCCTGAGCACTACGATGAGCGTAATGGAAAATCTTTTGCTCAAAAATTTAATCCACACCTCTTGATAGCCGCCTTGTAATATTTTCCGCACGAGTGGCTAAAATACGAGCGTTCAATATATAAAAGAAATGCCATTCAATGTTAGAATTGACAGCGCTATCATTCGCTTATCAAAATTTTATCAATGTTACTAGGCAGGTTTTTTTTTTATTTTAGAATCGAAGAGGCGAAGGTTCTGGAAGAGAGAGGTAAGTACAAGCAGACTGAATTCTGCAATATGCGCACTCTTTTGTTCCTTTGGATGAACAAGTCTTCTCAGTCTGGCTCATGCTAAACGTTGATTAATCAGTTTGTTCATAGCTCATGATCAAACTGTTGAGAAAAAGGAAGGATTTTTTCTACGTAATAAGGCTAAGTACGTCTCCTTCTTCGTTGAGAATTGTAGTGGATACACCCTCTGAATCACAACATTCACAAAAGGGATCGATGCATGTTCGTTTGAATAAATGGCTTCAATAAAAACCTAAAATAAGCGCTCGTTTGTCGCCTTGGGCTCGATTTGGCTGTATAAGTCTTCTCGGTCTGGCTCATGCGAAACGTTAAGTGATCAGTTTGTTCATTAATCAACCTGTTACTAAATATGGGATTTTTATACGCGAGAAGGCTAACTATATCTGCTTCTACGTCTAGAATTGTGGAGGAACTACTTTTTGAAATGACATAATTTAAATGTCAACACTCATTGGTAGACTCAAATTTTCCTTTTCATCCCTTTTGGAGATCATCCAATCGATCATCCAATCAAAGAACTAATCGCTCCGTCGCCTCTGATAGTGACGTCCGCTCCATTTGTCTGTGCGCCAATTGCTGTTACGAACAACAGTCTTGTTTTCATGACTCCATCAACGTAATGACTACTTGTGAGTCTATTGAATTATAAAATAAAACCGCTTTTCCCCTTAACTGCAGGACGCCCTCAGTTGTTATCAGATCTTATCATGCTCACACAAAGTTCACACAGAGTGTGCTATTGCAATGATACAGAATGGCGTGTAAGTACACCCAAAAAGTTCGCACATTTATAGTAATAAGTAATCTAGTGTTAACAACTGGATTAAAAACGTAAACTAGCCACCGTAAAGGGTAAAAAAGCTGACGTTTCGAGTGTCAGCCCTTCGTTAGAGCGATTAGAGGAATTGTGGGTTGTGTGTGGATTTATATGTAGAAAGTGGAGCTACGCCATTGGTGGGAATATGGTGACGAGAAAACAGGAATAAATTAGTTGAATGAAAAGCGCTCGTTGATTCCGTGGAGATTAAGGGTGCCGATTTGGAATATAAATTTTTGTTCTAGTGTTTTACGGCTTTCCGAACTGCCTAGATGTAAGGAAAGGCCGCACACTGCCATATGCTGTTTAGAATGATAAGGAAGATTAAAGTGTCCAGCGACTGGTTTGGATGCGTCCTTGTCATTTCTTTCCAAATCGCGAAGGTGTTCTCGGAATCGGTCCTCTAATCGCTCCTCTAATCGCTCTGACGAAGGGCTAACGCTCGAAACGTCAGCTTTTTTACCCTTTACGGTGGCTAATTTACGTTTTCAACCCAGTTGTTAACACTAAATTACCTGCTATACTCTCCCACCGACGCAGCATCACAGTTTCTTTAGAAACTTACCAATTATAGTAGTGTGCTACCGGAATAAGATGATTGTTAGTTGCACTTTTTGATGTCCAGTAACTTTGTTAGATTTCGTGTCCAGGATCACCTCAATGAAACAGAAACTACAATGCTTTACCTGGTTCTAAAGATAAAAAAAACGTCTAAGTCATAGTTTGGTTTAAAATTCTCCACGTCTGCTTCACTATTCCCCTAAAATTTATTCAGGATTAATCTCATTCTGCCTTTTTTCTTTCAGCCGTTGCTGTCCCATTTGCCATATCCACTGTTTGGTCTGACTTAATACACCAAGCAGACAGACAGGATTCTGTTTTGAATTATCACACTTTTATTGTTTAAGTTTTAAAACTTATTAAGAGCTTAATTAGAGAATTTTAATTGGGCAAACCATTTGTCGCAAAAGGGCCAAAACATTTAGCTATTAGGCGTAATAATTTTTGAGCGTTAAAATCTTAGACTGTTCAGTGTCTTATCTGCTAACGCAGTAACGAAGTTACACAATCTATTACAAGAAAGACATTTGGCGCCCGTCGAGCTAAGTTACATTCCGCAAACCGGAAGTGTCTGTTTTTCGCGCGTGGGATCACATTAGTTTTTCTTTTGCATTGCTAACAAGCATATATATACATGTATACATGGAAAAGCATACCTTTTTGCGCCATCGTTTCAAGAGAATAAGTAAATGCGCAATCGTAATGATTAAAGCAAAAGCTTGATGAATCCAGATTAGCGACAGAATTCAGTCTTGGAGTCAGGAAAGAGAGAGTATATTATTATCATACATATCCAACTTTTAAGATAACAGCGGTTGAATTATGTCTCACACCGTACATTGTATTTGAGAATTTGCAAATAAAGTTTCAAAAACAAAGAAACGCGTTTCAACATTTCCTTCAGCACCGCTTCTATTGATGATCTCGTCTGAATTTCAATCAAAAGGGTCGGCTATTACTCAAATTAAATTAATTCAGTTTGATACATTCGAACTTTTAGCATCGGTTGCCATGCTTAGAGGATATGGTGTCAAGGGTATTCAAAAGATCGAGCCATTGCTTGAAGAAATCCCACCTCTTATCATTTTAGGAAAAATAGTGTAATAAACAAAATGATCCAAATGCAGTCGACGAGGCAAACCCTATGCAACGGAACAGTTCCAGGAATTTCATAGTTCATATTCTTTCAGACAACAAAAAAACGATGTTTAACAGGTGGGGGCAGAACTCTGAGTTTGCAAATTGAAACCAAGTTTCAAATTACTTACTCAATTTACTATTCTGTTTACAGCGCCGTGAGCAAAGGGGCGTTCAAGACTCTCGGGCCCGCGAACCATCGATCGTCGACGGTCGTAGGCTTCTTTAAAAACCGTCGCGTAATGCATTCTACCCTGACGTGCTAGCACTGGAACAAATTAAGGCCTGTCCTTCCTAAAAATTTATTGAAGCAAAAGGTATACAATGAGATAATTTTTCGGCAAAGCTTGGACAAACTCACCTATGTTAGCTTGAATGGAAAATGCCTCTTGTGTAATGTATGCCAAAGGATTTGTCCTCTGGTGTTCTAGTAGGGTGAACAGTGTTTAGTTTGAAACTTTATCGCCGGAAGAAAACGAATACAGATGCTTAACAGTTGGGGGCACAAATTGTTGTATGCTAATTGATACCAAGTATACGTCGGGAAAACCCTACCTCGCAGCATGACGTCACGCTACAACGTAGTCATGATGTAAATCTGAGCGTTCTAATTTGTTTATACTTGGTCAGTTTTATTATTTTTTTTGCTATATAAACCAGTTCCTTGGAAATGGTCGTAAAACGTGTATTTTTGGTAGACGATTGGCATACTACGCCCGCGATTTCAAACTTCAATCCTTTGATCAACGTGTGAAAATCGTTCGACTGCTAATGGTGGAAATTAGTTCATGAGTGCACTGAATGTGGCCGGAAAACTATTTGCATTCACTTTTAATATTCCTCACTCTGCTTTCTGTTTGTATAGCATTGGTCTCCTTAAGTTGCAAATACATGTATCATGGAAAACGACGCTAACGGTTTGACAGACTCCTTAGTGGCCAGACACACAACAAACCGTAACCTTACGCTTGGAACTAATTTCTCGTTATCAAAATGGCTTACGCCATGACCAAGACACAGGCATGGGGGCAGAGGTAAGAAAGATTTAATACAGAATAGTTCTTAGATGAGGAGAGGAACCCTGATATGCTGGGGCAGGAAGGGCGTTTTAAAAGTCATTATCAATCGCCAAAATTGGAGCTGAGATCGCAGCTTTTATTAACTACGATATAAAAACTGAAAGGAACGAGTTGAATGATCCAGAAAATTTGATTGCACAAGCACTAGCCAAAGCACAAGCTTAGTCCCTGTATGAAAAAAAGATACCATAGAGAATTTCAAAATTAACTCACGAAAATCGTTGTTTTTTTCGCTGTTGCGACTGTCCCCTTGAGGTTCTTTGCCATATCTTAACAGAAAAAGTATTACCAATTTTCATTTATTTAAAACAAAAACAGCTCATAGACTTATGAGGCATCAAAACAAGCATTCCAAGGGAATAAAATGGGTCTGTATCGTCTGCTCGAAGAAATAGCCATATAATAAACATTTTTGAAAATCATCTTATTTTGTTTCACTCCTTAAGATTGCCGGGTCAAACAACATCGCTATCGACTCGTCTACAGATGGTTCCCCTTCGGACGAAGTCTTTCTAACAAACTCTCAATCTTCAACTTTGTTTTCACTGTCTTCTGTCTCCATAATACCTTGGAATGCTGAGTCTTTAGAGTCCACGGACAACAGTCCTCTTGCACTGGTGCAAGGAGTAGCCAGAGCAACGGTCCAAATGAACAGGAGAATGCGGGAAAGAGAACAGCGTGAATTGGAGCAGGAAGAACTTCAAAGGGACAAGGAAAGAAGGGAAAGAGAGATTAGAATGAGAAGAAATAGAGAAATGATAGAAAGAGAGAGAAGGGAAATAAGAAGATCTCGTGGATGGAGAGATCGACAAGAGGCAGTTCCTGGACCTTGGTGCTCATGCCGCCTCGATGAGGTGACAATATAACATGTTTTTATTTTGTTTCTTTCCTTCTTAATTGACCAGTAGGTCGTCTTTCCTCGCACCTTCTCGAGAAAAGTTGCGACAGGTTCTTTCATATCTAAATGAATGACGCAAGCGACCAACGACGGCATTTAGAAAAAGGAAAAATACGAACTGAAAAACGAGAAAGAAAGAACCCGTGAATGAGAGGAAATTGAACGAAGTAAAACACTTACTGATCCCATTTCCTAAACTCCAGTTAATACAGTTTCGCAGGTTGCTCATCATCACTTCTTTCTGCACTCCATTTGAAATTTCGTAGTTTTACGTTTTTTAAATTTTCAGATATTGTAGGAGACACCACATGCAGAAGATGTGACAGACAGAAATACTTTTAAGTCTTGAGCCCTACCCAGCTCACTCATTAGTGATAGTGCTCACTATTCAGCAAAGTTGGTGCCACAGTTGATATTGTTGTTGCTTAAACCTAGTTTTTAGGACGTTCTAACCGCAATTTTCAAGGTGTTTGATTTTGTGATTCTGGAAAGGAGAGAAGTAGTCTGTTGACACCAGTAAGGTCAAGTAGCAACGTTATGGGTAGATTTTAACAAAGGAACCCTGGTAGTAATGTATTGCACTAAGAAAAGTAATTTTCTTTCTTCTGGCGCTAACAGAGAAAGAAACCGAATGACACCTTTATTTAAAAATAAATAACAATCCCAACACCAGGGTAGTCCCATCAGAACGTAAGGCTCTGCTATCAAGAAGAGCCCTGGTGAATAGGATCCTAAAATAAATACAATGCATAATACAAAAATAAATATAAATAATACTACTAATAATAATAACGGTGGCAAGAGAACGATAGAGTTAACAGAGAAAGAAACAGTGTCGTTACCAATGCAGTAGAAAATTTGATCGACGTTCTGGTCAATCTCGTTGCTCAGTGACGAACAGAAGCTCTAGCAGCTTTGTACTTGAATAGGGACATGTTTGTTTGAATAAACGACTTCAATAAAATCCTAACTAATGTGCGTTCTTTTGTCGTCTTTTGCTCGATTTGGCTCAAGCTTTACGTTAAGTAATCAGTTTGTTCATTAATCAACCTGTTACGAAATAAAGCAATTTTTTATATGCGACAAGGTTAACTCTATCTCCTTCTTCGTTCAGAACTGTAATGGATCACCCTCTGAATCACATCTCCAAACGTGATGTTTGTCCGCACGAACGGTTTCAAGGAAAACCCAAATGCATTCCATAGTCAGGACAAGATGAATGTTGCATCTGTTTGGAGGATTTTGGCATCTGCTGCAAAGCACGATTGATAAACGCATATGAGAGTCACTTCATTGGCGTCTTGGAGGCCAGATGGCTAATCAATGAGTAAGGCAAAATAACTTCGTAAAACTTTGTGGGTATGGTTTATTTCAGCCGCTGCTGCCCCATTTGTCATCATCAACATTTTGGTTAGACCTAATGCACCAAGCAGACAGAGCGGATATTGTTTTGAAATGACAATCGATGGTTTCAAAACTAAAAAGTTTTGAAACCTTTTAAAAGCTTAAGTAGAGTGTCTCACTGGGGATAACCATTTGTTGCAAAAGGGCCACAACATTTAGCTATTAGGTGTAAACATTTTGAAAGTTTCAAAATCCTAGACTGTTTAGTGTCTTATCTGCTAACGCAGTCACGAAGTTACAAAATCTACTCTAGGATCGATAACAAAGACATTTGGCTCCCGTCCGGCCAGGTTATATTCTGCGAGCCGGAAGTGTCTAAATGAGTTGACAGACAGCTGACTATTCTAAGGACCTTCAGTTTCTTCATTCAGTGTATGAGTGACGGCTGAAGGGCATAATTGCTATATATCAAGTTGATAAAGAGAAGGAAATGGAAAGATTTAGGGTGATAATTAAAGTCGGATAACACCTCGCAACTTCCGCAGTTAAGAGAAATCTAATCAATTATCTTGGTCCCAACGACCAAGCCAAGAAGTTTGGAATAAGGTCATTTTATACGTAATCGTATTGGCCCGCGGGCAATTAAATATTAATGTTAGTTGTATTTTCAAAGTTTTCAACTTTAGGAAAAATACAAGTGAAATTAACTCTTAATTGTCCGAGGGCACTTTTCTTGTTTATCACATGAAGGACAAAATTTTTGAGGGAGCTGCATTCGCGCACGATGTCCGCGCGATGAAGCCCTTTTTATACCTCCGCAAATGTGAAAACAAACGTAGCTGACCTATAGATTCAATGAACATTTTATTTTCAAAATACAATGAACAACGTTACACGGCTTCATTCAGTTATATTGCAATCAATAAATCGTTGAAAAACTGCCCTCTGTCTCAGTCAATTAGCATTCAGTCATTCTGCCCCGCATGTGATAAAACCTGAAACACTATACCGCCTTGTGAAAATCATGGATTTATTTAACCATTCTATTTACAAATGGTAATATTATTACTTATGTAGAATGTTTGAAGTGTACTTTGCAATTCTTGTAATACCGTCACTATGTTCTTTGATGTATATTTTTTTTATCCCGGAAGAAGTAAAGAACCGATCGGAAATGGGTTTTAGAACAATGTAGATCAAATATTAACTTTTTAAAGTCATTTAAATCAATTTTTAACATTCCTGTTAACTGCGAAGGAAATAAATTATCCGCATGCCATAAATGGCCAATATTTTGACCGTTAGCCGCAAAAGCTTTCACCTCATTGACGCCCTTTGAATCAGTCTCGTACTCAGACCTCTCACGTCCGAGCGGTAGGATCTGGATACGAGATTACCGCTAAATAGTTTAGGAACTGGTACGTTTCTTAACTTGGTGGAGAAATAAGAACGGGATTTTTTGTCCAGACAGAATTACAGATGTTTTCCTTTTGTTTTTTTTATAGGCTATCGGTTAACCCCATTGAGCTTGAGACCTTCTCACACGTGAATACATACGCGCTTACACATATACTTTGATTTCCGTATTTTTGAGGCCTTGCATTGAGACATTGCATCAATCTATAAGGGCAAACTAATTACATTAAGACCCTAAAGATGAATTCAGTGTTGATAAACCAAAGCCAAAATAAGTAAATCGCAGGTTATCTTGACGCTTTTTAATAATTATAATACATTTCGTTAACAAGACGGCTCATAAAACACGTGCAGAATTGCAAGAAGAACGAGAATGATCTACAGTTCGTAGATCACTGCTCTGGTATCGCAGAGGTCATGGGTTCATATCCCGTACATGCCTAAATTTTTTTTTTTTTCATGCCTTATTTTCCCTACTGTTAAAGTAGTGCTCATTACTGCGAAGATCGCTTTCATATTCACGTATTTATCCACAGTTCACATATATGTTTTCATATATTCACAGTCATTTATTCCCACAACTTTCCGTACTCTCCGCTTACCTTGTTGCTATAGTATTTACATCAGAATACGAAGCCACTTCCTCCATATTTCTGAGAATTAAACAGAAACCGCATAAATTATGGATGACGTCCAACAACTATGTCTTCGGTGACGGCTTGCTTTATGTCTTAAACGATTAGACATGCACACATAACACACTACCTGGGTTAAGACAGGATTCATGGATCACAAAAGGAAAAAACATTGTGATAGTTACCTTAATCCTGACGATACGAGCTACTAAACATTACGTCACTTCCTTTAAATTTCTGAGAAGTGCAGTGGCTTCGAAGAAAATGATAAATTGTGTCTGGATGACTGTGGAGAAGCTCCCATGCACTGAATTTGAGCGTGAAAATCGTGAAGATTAAGGTATCTATCACAAAATTATTTCCTATATGGTCAAGGAATTCATTTTGGAAAATCTTAGTTAACCAAAATCACTGTCCTAGACAGTCTGTTACCTATGTATTTCTTTTAAAATTGTTTTTAAAAAGAACAAAGTTGTTTAAAAGGATTAGAATTTTCCCTCGATCAAAAAGTCGTGAAAAATGTATGACGACTAGTTTCAGACGGATCTGTGAACCACATTTATATGGATGACATATCATTTGTGCCACTCATTTAAGATATACATATTTTTGGGCTGCTTAACTCGATGAGATTAGTAGATGTCGCCATAATCCATCCATTCTAATCTTTGCATGCATTTTTTGCGAAATATGGAAGCGAATTCGAGAAGCATCCAGTGAGAAGTGCATTTCCTTTAGAAAGTATGTGGTTTATTCCTTTCTATGCGTCTAACATCTCCGGCCCTCGAGTATTCAGCTTCACAAAGGCGAGTTCTATAACAGTACTGCTTTATACAAGTGGAAATAACAAATTCGAACCAAAGAGAATTTTTGGAGTTATCTTGGTTTAAGCACCTGCCAAGTTTTTCTTCGCCTTGTGACAATTATTTTAAAAAGCCTTTTATCATAACTGTTTCGTTTTCTCTGTTATTCGTCACTCTTGAACGTATCATTCACAGACTTGAACCGAACTTGAGCCCAAACATGAGCTATTTTAAGCTTAAGTTTTCCAATTTAGGACATGAATTTCTATTCCAAAATTGTCTGCAATATTTCACTTCTTGCCAGCTGAAGTAACAAAAATTATTGTCCCCCTATAATCCTTATTTCTGCATGAGTATTGTTACGACTATCAAAATAATGTCGAGAGGGCTAGCTATCGAGCACACCACGCTCGATGAAAGGCGCCAGGACCCTTGAATTGTCTTTTTCGCTTTTTTCTTTAATTATTCGGTTCTCCAGTACGTAATTCTACTTACATCCAAGCTTATTTCATTCTGTGTAACTCCGGTTAATACCTTGGGCTCTCACACTTTGAGTTTCACTGAATACTTCTTCTTTAACTGCGGAATTCTGACTCTACTCTTCTGCACTCTTTTTACATTCCTCTGGTCTGCTCTTCTCTCTCTTCATTCCACTCTCCTAAGTGAGCTCTAAATAACATACTGATATGTTTACTACTGACCGATATGGGTGGGCATGTCAGCTGCCTGACCTTGGCAGATCAAACATTTGTTGTTAGAACACGAAATCAAAACATTTTAACGAGACTTTAGTACACTCTTTATTTAAAGAAATATAAGGTTTACAAAACTTCATGTCCTGCAAATAGCTACAATGCTAATCTAGGCAGGACAAGACTTTAACTAAAGGCGTTATTAAATTCAAGTACAAGGGATTTTGTTATTTGAAAAAGACTAAAATTACAACTAGAGGTATATACAATATATCAGGTTAACTTTACAAAATATTCTATTAAAAAATTAACATTCAAATAATTATCTTCATTACCTAGAACATTAAGGAGTAGTGATTTAATTTTTTTACGAAAATTAGAAACGTTGAGAGTCTTAACAGAAAGTGGAATAGAATTCCAAATAGACACACCGATTCTAGTAAAAGATTTTTTCATTTT